GATTGTTCCATTTTAAGCAAGAATACTTTACTATTCCATGAGGAGGGGTAATGATCTGAGAGGGTCTTATCTCTGGCGCTGCGTGGTCTTTCTAATTATTTACAGAAACCAAAAGGCAGAAGTTGCAGCTGTCTGACGCAGGCGGCATAGCCACATTCCTCTCAAGGCTCAAGATAATTTCAAGTTCCAATAGCTTTAAATTTGAATTATTTTAAATTTGAATTATTTAATTTTACATCTGATCATTTGAATCCTGCCATGAAATTTCCCAAGTTCACTTTCTCAGCTAGAGTTCCTGCAGCTTCTTGACTCATCAAACTAAGGTCGTATTAGCTTCTGTGGTGTGGGGGGCACTGGCTCTCAGCCCCAAGCCCTCTAGGCCAGAGGTTTTGAGCTCCTCCCAGCAGCTCAACGCTTTTTTGTTGTTGTTGCACTTCCCATCACTCTGCACAGATCTCATCTTTGCCTCTGTTTTTTAAAAATATTTTCTGGAGCAAAAATATTTTCTGATTTGCTGAAATCAGAAACCTATCCCGTTTTTCAGTTGCCCACCAGAGCTGTTGCTCAGTGCAGGGAAACCAGGAAATGATGACTACCAGTTAGAAACAAAAAGACTAGCTTTTAAGTCAGCCGCTGCAGCCTTGGTATTCCCAGCATGGAACTTCTAAAACTTATGGAATTTCCTTAGTGATAGGACTGCTTTCATTTTGCTAATGAGGGAACTTACTTTGCTTTCCCAGATAGCTTCACCTTGGGCTCTGATCACCAGAAAGGTCAACCAGATGAAATTGCAGGGTTTCAGGAGGCTGAGGCAGGAGAATCACTTGAACCCGGTTGGTGGAGGTTGCAGTAAAACAAGATCGTACCACTGCACACTCCAGCCTGGGTGACAGAGCAAGACTCTGTCAAAGAAAGAAAGAAAGAGAGAAAGAGAGAAAGAGAGAGAGAGAGAGAGAGGAAGGAAGGAGAGGGAGGAAGGAAGGAAGGAGAGGGAGGAAGGGAGGAAGGGAAAAGGAGAAAAAAGAAATTGCAGGGTTATTGCAGGATTTGAGCTTTTTGAACCTTGGGCTGCCAGACCTCCAGGGAGAAGAGCGGCACTGGAGATTAAGTTCACTCACATGGCCAGTGATTTAATCAATCATGCCTATCTAATGGAACCCTAATAACAACTCTAGATTCTGGGGTTCACTGGAGCTTCTGATTCATGAACACACTGATGTGCTGGGAGAGTGATACACCCAGATTCCACAGGGAAAGAACGTGGAACTGCATTCACCCCAGATCTCACCCTGTGTGCATCCTTTACAATAAAACCATAGCCGTAAATATAGTACTTTTCTGACTTCTGTTAGTCATGTTAGCAGATTATCCAACCTGAAGTATGTCCTAGAGTCTGGGGATAGGTAGTTGAACAGGTAAAAGTGTGAGTGGCTTTGAGTAACTTGTGAGTAACTTGCCCAGAACCACAGAGCTAGCAAGCAGCAGATACTACATGCAAATCCACACAGCTGGTATGTGAAATGAGGGCAGTCTCCTGGAGGCCTGAGCCCTTAACACATGGGGTCTGCACTGACTCCCAGTAGCAAGTGTCAGAATTATACTGCAGTGCACCCGGTGGGATGCAACAGAATAACTGTTATTAAGGATAATTTTGCAATTTCTTACAGAAGTCTTGAAATATTAGAAACGGCTTCTAGACCTTTATGTTGAGCATTACAGCTCAAAGCACTGTCCCTGGGTGGACAGGTTAGACAGATCATGCGGAAGGTGCCCCTCAAGTGTGGGTCCAGACTATGCACATCCACAACTGTTCATTACCAGTTCCTGGTAAGATGTTTACAGAACTTGAGAGCCGGCATATAGAAACTTTTATAGCAATTGGACAATGCCAAGACATTCAGAAATGGAAATATTAAAATATCACACAGTGACAGTTTGGATAAAAAATTATCCTTCACCACAGATAGTTTGAGGAATGTAAATTTAGAAAATATAGCCTTGGTTGGTATGATCAGATGGAATTAGAACTTAGTGTGAGAGGTGTGAGCCATAGGATGAAGCAGATGGATTTGCATGTAATATCTGCTGCTTGCTAGCTCTGTGGTCCTGGGCAAGTTACTTAATTGCTCTGGGACTCAGTTCCCTCATCTAGAAAATGGATATGACAGTATTTCCTATCTAATTCGAAGCTGGAAAGACCAAATAAAATAATCCAGAACAAATGCTAACCACAAACCTGTATATATAGTAAGTTAACTGCGGGTATTAATTCTTCTACGTTCGCTTCTTGGCATCCGTGGTTCTGGCTTGGTTAAAGTATATTCTGGCTATGTAGGTTTGATGTATTACTGTATATAAAATCTATAGCCTTGCTCTCATGTGAATACAAAATAAAGCAAACACTGTTTAAAAGCCACAATTTATACATGTAAGCGAATGTTGCTTTTTGTAGAATCCCTCTGGGATGCTAGAGTCCTATCTGAAAATGTTGCAATTGTTGGAAGCATTTTTAGGACTTTTTCTTTTTTGCTTAATTTTTCTTTCTAATTATTATGGGTCCAAGATAGTTGTATATGTTACTGATGATTCTGGGAACTTATTTAGCATTTCCATTAGAACCTGTGCCAGTGATCCTCTGATGTAACAAATCACCTTAAAATGTAGGAGTTTACTCAGCATCGTGCAACATGCCCCTGTGACAAACCTGCACATGTACCCCTGAATCTAAAATTTGAAACAAATACATATATAGGTAGATAAATGTATTTATACACATCTATACATATCTCAAACCAAAGCCAACAAAAAATAACGTCGTGGTTTAGAACAACAGTCTATCATTATCACTCACCATGGACTGACTGGGCTAGACTGGTTCTCCTGTCTGGTCTTCCACAGGGTTGCAGTCAGATGTTGGCTGGGGATGGAGCCATTGGAAAGTGCAACAGGCTGGACATCCAGAATGACTTCTTTGCGCTTCACATTTGGTGCCTGGGCTGGGATGGCTGGGACGGCCGGAACAGCTTGGGGCTGGCTGGGTATCTCTCATTCTATGTGGACTCTCCTAGCTTGGGTTTCCTAGATGTATGCTGGGCTAAGCTTAGGGACGTGTCTTCACTGGTGGCTGGCTTCCCCCAGAGTGAGTGTTCTGAGAGGCGGGAAGTGGAAAATGCTAGATCTGGGCCTGGTAACTGGCATAGTATCACCACCGCCATAGTCTACTAGTCCAAGCAGTCATTGAGCCTGTCCTTATTTAACAGGGGGGAGACACAGACCCTGCCTCTCTCTAGGTGGAGGGTCAAAGAATCTGTGTCCACCTTTCACCTGCCATAAAGCTACAAAAGGAATGTAGTTTTCTTACTTTAGCATGTCCTTTCCCACCAGCGACATTGTATGATTTCCCAAGGTGACCACATTGAGGTAGGAATATTCATTTTGCTTTCAGTTCCTTCTTTTTGAGTGAAAACACAACCATTGTGTTACAGCCATGCCCGACATGCCTTTGTGTTTTGGCATTGGTCAGCCTGTACTCAGGAAGGCGCATGGGAGTCACAGATTTCCCCTGGCAGACCCTCTCCTCAGAATCACCCTACTTTCTGAGTGTCTGATTTCTACTAGTGACCTCCTTGTAGTCTGTGTTGCCTCCCTGCACTCTTCTCTGCCTTACCTGCCACAAGGAATCTCCTGAAAGCCCATGGAACCAATGCATCACTCCCTTGCTCTCAGAACTTCAGTCTCCTCCTGTGTCTTAATACGGCATGTGTCCCACCCATCCAGGTAGGGACTACAGACCCTCCACAGCTGGAAGAGGATCGCTTTCCAATTATGTTTTCCCCAAATGGTCTTGCTTCTTCTTTCAGTATCCCCACCAAAACACCCATGCATCGCCACAGACACACAAGGCCCTCTGCAAAACACATACACAAACACAAGCTCACATCATTTACCCAGCCAATATTTATTGAATATCTGCCTGTGCTGGGCTTTGTACTCGGCTTGAAGTTCCAGCAAGCTTAATTATTATTTTATTATGCCACAAACATACCTTAGGTTATTTTCCCTTTCCAGGACTTTGCTTAAGTTCCTGAGGTTAGGAGCATTTCTTATTAATGTTTTATTGTTTCCTTTGGTACCAAGTGCTGTGCTACCCACGTAGCAATACATATTAGTTGCAATGCTGTACAGAGGAGAGGTTCATTCTGTCTTTCATTGTATCTTACTTTTCATCTCTGCCCTTTTTGTTACCCTTTCTCTGAGTCTCATCTAGAATCAGCAAGCTCTCTCCTCATCTCTCCTCCTATTTAAAGTTTTAATGTACTTCCTTCCTTCTTATCTCACCAAAAGTTCATGGTAAGGGTGAAGTAGGAGGGTAGTCTTGAGGACATTGTTCAGGCACCTTGAAATCACATTCACCCGCAGACACAGTCAGTGAAGCATTGTTTTATTCAGTGCCATCGGCGGACTTCTGGTATGTTCTAGGCAGCCTTCCAGACTGGGGAGAACAGGAAGAATCAGATACGGTTGTCACTCCTTAGAAGTGCACAGCAGCTACTGTAATATCTATGAGCTGTGAGCTTTTGGTGGTCTGATAAGCAGACAAGAGAGGGCAAACTATGCTTACCTCTCTGGGTTTGCTTTATCAAATTGGAATTTTATAATCTCAAAAGTAGGGGGAACTTGTGGGCAGGGGCCCTACTGTCTTACCAAAGTGGGAAGGCGGACTTGTCCCTGAGTCCCATGGGGAAGATTTTGCAAATATACACTCATCCATCGCCTCTCTCCAAAGACTCACCTGAAATGGTGAGATCTCTTGTTTTGCAGAGGTTGGTGGGAGGTGGGGTTGGGGCAGGGACAGATATGACACCTGGATTTAGCTAAAACTCCTGGATGATTCTGGTTTCTAGTGCCCCTTCTACAACCCCACTCCACCACCTACAGAAACACTGCTCAGGATAGAATGTCCCCAGCAGCATCTGAGCAGATGCCCTATGTTTGGCTAACTGTGCCATCTGGCTGTTTTTCAGGTTCATTCTGCCACCCATCTGCTTTAAGACACAAGGTGCTGACCGCAGAGACCTGCCATGAAACCACACTTGAAGCAATGGAGACAACGAATGCTTTTCGGAATATTCGCTTGGGGGCTCCTCTTTTTGCTGATTTTCATCTACTTCACCGACAGCAACCCCGCTGAGCCTGTGCCCAGCTCCCTCTCCTTCCTGGAGACCAGGAGGCTCCTGCCGGTGCAGGGGAAGCAGCGGGCCATCATGGGCGCCGCGCACGAGCCCTCCCCGCCTGGGGGTCTGGACGCACGTCAGGGGCTGTCCCGCGCCCACCCAGCCAGTTCCTTTCACGCAGGGCCTGGAGACCCGCAGAAATGGGCCCAGTCCCAACATGGGTTTGAACATGAAGAGTTTTTTTCATCCCAGGTGGGAAGAAAATCTCAAAGTGCTTTCTACCCGGAGGATGACGACTACTTTTTTGCTGCTGGGCAGCCAGGGTGGCACAGCCACACTCAGGGGACATTGGGATTCCCTTCCCCTAGGGAGCCAGGCCCGCGGGATGGGGCTTTTCCGGCTGCACAGGTCCAGAGGAGGCGGGTGAAGAAGAGGCACCGGAGGCAGAGAAGGAGCCACGTGTTGGAGGAGGGAGACGACGGCGACAGGCTGTACTCCTCCATGTCCAGGGCCTTCCTGTACCGGCTCTGGAAGGGGAACGTCTCCTCCAAAATGCTGAACCCACGCCTGCAGAAGGCGATGAAGGATTACCTGACCGCCAACAAGCACGGGGTGCGCTTCCGCGGGAAGCGGGAGACCGGGCTGAGCAGGGCACAGCTACTGTGCCAGCTGCGGAGCCGCGCGCCCGTACGGACGCTGGACGGCACCGAGGCGCCCTTCTCTGCGCTGGGCTGGCGGCGCCTGGTGCCCGCCGTGCCCCTGAGCCAGCTGCACCCGCGCGGCTTGCGCAGCTGCGCTGTCGTCATGTCTGCAGGCTCAATCCTCAACTCCTCCTTGGGCGAGGAAATAGGTAGGTCTCAGTGCGGGGACCAGGTCGCCTTGTCTTGAGCCAGTGTGTCCCTGGGAGCTGGTTCTTTCCGTGCGCGCCTCTGGATCTCACTGGCGGGGCAGGCTGGGGTCTCCACACCAGGTGTTTCTTGTGGGAGCTGGAGATTCTTCAGGTGATTTCCCCTTGCTGGCGCAGAATGAGTCTCTCTGGGGTCACAGAAGAAGTACTCTTCGGGGGACTCTTAGAGCAAGGATTTGGGGAATGCTGGGGAGCAAGAAGGGCCCTCCCCATAGCTGATGCCAGTGGGCAGTGGAAGGAAAGCGCCGCCCCTTGCTTCCAGTGTCCTTCTCACTGTTCAGACTTCGTATCCCATAGAAACCACAGTCTGCATGGATAGGCTCCCAGGCTGGCCCCGAAAGCCGGGTGAACCCATCTTGCAGTGGGAATATGGGAAGGGAACAAGAGGAGGAGGAGGCAGGAAAGCAAGAGCTGCTCAATCAGGGCATCAGCTCCAAAGAGCAGGGTGCATGAAGATCATGTTGGTTACTGTGGGCTCTCAGAAGAGCCCAGCTGCTGTTGGGAACATCTTTCCCATGGGAGCGTAAGTTCTGGCCTCCCAACTGTTGGCGCATATCCAACCTTTGGGGCTCTGCCAGTGCACCTACCGGGGACCTTCTCCAAGATGGTAAATTAACACGCAACACCTGGGCTTCCTCCCTCCCTGCCAGGCTCCTGTCTCTTATACACATCTAGATGAATTAACACGCAACACCTGGGCTTCCTCCCTCCCTGCCAGGCTCTGTCTTCACATCCCTGTCAAGAGCGCTGGAGCACATCTGTTTCCCGACTCCTGTATCCGTCAGGGTTCTCCAGAGACTCACACCAGGAGGATATGTGTCTCTACAGAGAAAGATTTATTTTAAGGACTTGACTCTCATGATCGTGAAGGCTGGCGAGTCTGAAATAGGTAGTGCAGGCCAGCAGATGGGAAACTCAGGCGGAGCTTCTTTGTTGCTGTCTTGAGGCAGAATTTCTTGTTAAGGAAACTTCAGTCTTTGTTCTTCAGGCATTCACCTGGCTTGAGGAAGCACACCTGCATTGTGAGAGTTGTCTGCTGTTCTCAAAGTCTAGTGATTTCACTGTTAATCACATCTTAAAAACACCTTCCCAGCAACATCTAGACTAGTGTTTGACCAACCAGCTGGGCACTGTGGCCTAGCCAAGATGGCACACAACATGAGCCATCGCTATGTCTTCCTAGTTTTGAAGTGCCAGTTCTAATCTTTTTTGATTGATGGGGGCATGGCAGGGTTCAAATACATTTGCCTCCTGCAGAGTGGTGTAGGTTCTGCACCAGATGGGCCAGCATTGGCCCTCCTCAGAATTCCCCTTCCTGGCCGGATCACATTCACTTCCCTACCTGCCCCAGCCTCTCACCCTGTCTTGCCGGAGATACCCAGGCTCTTGTGTTCCCATAGCTGGGCTTTCTCCCTCAGCAGTTTCCGATCCCTTTGCTCCCAGAACTGCCCCCGTTCCCAGGCTAATTCCATTGCTGCACCAGTCAGCAAGCAGCTTGGCCCTTTAGGCTCATTCATTCGACAAATATGTGTTTAGCCCCTAATGTGTGCTTGACTCTGTACTAGGAGCAGGAAAACAAATGTGAATCAAATACAGCATCAGCCTCAAGTCCAGATGTAAGACAATCGCGTCCTGTACACTCTCACAGTAGGCAGTGTTAGGTCATAACTGGTCTGGAAGCGACATTCAGGGAATGTTGCTCCCTCTTTACAAATAAGTAAAATTTGTTGTCTTCATTTTAAGTGGATCCATTAGTCGTTCTGTGTCCTGGAAGAGTGGCCCATATTCCAGAGTTGTCTTAGGATAGGGTGAAGCCACTGTAGGCAGGCTCAGAAACCGAGACCTCAGCTCAGCAGAAGTCCTTGGGCATGAGGCTAAATGAGAAATATTTTTAAAGTTAAAAAAAAAAAAAAAACAAGATAGTGAGTCTGGAATCAAGGTCTGGGGTCCCTGTGTCCCTGTGCTGACATTACAGCAGGCTCATAATAACACAGTCCATGTGTCACATAAGCTTGTAGCCAAAGCCAGAGCAGAGCAGCCTGCAATTTATTAAGAAGAAGCAGTGGTTTAAGAGGTCCCCGGGGTGAAATAACACCACAGTTCTTTCTCATTTCTGAGGGCCAATATTAATAATGTAGAGAAGGAATTTAAGTATTATGCTTGAAGCAGGCAGTAACTTGCTTCCGGTTTGGTTTTGTTTTAAACACCTCTGCATCAGAGGTGAAGATCTGGATTGCTCTTGCATGCCAGTGAGCAGTCCCTTGTCCTTTATTTCTGCATAAATATCCCTGACCAGAATCTTATAAACTCTAGAATTTGGAAGAGAGCATGAAAGACACTGAGAAGTCCATGTTTCTGGGAAACTTGAAATGCCAGTTATATCTTTGTTAATTTCTAGTATCCAAATCTAATTTATTTTTCATGCCTTTAAGAACGGTAGAATCACAACTGAAGAACATGCCTGGAAATTTCTTTAAAATTATCTTTATTGTTTTGTCTAGGGTCTTTTGGATCAGATTGTGTATCTACTATTTTAAGAACATGTAACCATAGCGTGGCTCAATTTGTATAAACAAAAAGTTTCATTTGTATAAGTTGGTATCTCAGCATCAGCAGTTTACATGCCGGGTGCATGTAAACCTCGCTCCTCCCTGTTCACCTGAATGTATGCAAGCAAACTCACGTAGTTATGAATGGCTTGCAGAATACAAAAACTCTGGCAGCAGATTCCTTTAGGCAGCTTAGAGTATTGGGGGCAGCTGTAGCTAAATTCATGTTGGTCCCTAAGTATCTACTTGTGAATTGGCTAAGTGAAGATCAAAAGACTTACCAAAGATCACAATCTTATGAAAAACTGAAGACAGAGCTAGAAAGTATCTCAGATGGTCAGTGCTTATCAGCCCTACCTCCGCTCTGCCAGGAGGCCACCTGTACACGCTTATGTCCAGGGAAGACCCAGTCAGTCTCAGGTTTGCTTACTGGCTAGCCTTTAGCTCCCCCTGGTGTTTGTTCCACTGGCAGTGCGGCCCCCATCCGCCTACCCTTCTGTTGGAACTGAGTCACACAAAGGAATTGGTTTTGGTTAGGAAAGTATAGCATTTGTAAACACTTTCGCTATGAATATGTTATTGAAAAACCAACTAATTGTTTTGGAAACCTGGATCATTCTCTCCTAGAGTCATAAGATGATCTGTTTTCACCCCTGCATATGAGCAATAATAATTTGCTTCTGTGCAGTGCTACTGGCATTCATGTGGAAACACGTTACGGAGGAGAAAGTTCTGCTCTCAACCACCAGTGATAGCCTTCATGTGGGAAACCAAGATCTGTGTACTTGAAACTCAGATTCTGGCAAGTGCATGGGAAGTGGGACGTGGAGGGAGAGACTGGGGATGGGATGCATAGACTGGTGGAGAGGGCTTGAGATGTGACGTGTCCTGTTACTTTTAAAAAAAGCAAGAAAGAAGAAAGCGGTCCATATACTCTTCCGATGAGCGTTATTTATTGGTCACCAACTCTCCACCAGATCCTGTGCTAGACACAAAACTGAAGAGGTCACGGGCCCGAGCATCCATAGTGGCACACTTCAGTGGTAAACAGACAATTCCCGTGTTGTGGATTGGAGAAGGACAGGGAGATAGGTAGGCTGACAAGGCAGAAATGATGATGAATTCCTAACTCCCCTGAGGGCTGGTGGCGGGGCAGAGGGAAGAGGTTGGTAAAGACTGCTCCAGGGAGAGGAGACCAAGCTGAAAGCCCGGCGTCATATGGAAGTGAGAAACAGCGTGGTATACAGGTGGTGAGAGCTACAGGGAGTACACGGGCTCATAGGGACAGAAGAGAGAAGCCAACTTGGAAGGCAGATCATCTTCCTAGATGTCCTTGCAAGCCACTCTGAAAATTAGACTTTACTTAATAATTGTAATCATAGATACCACTTATAGTACAGACAAGGCCCTGTTCAGAATCCTTTTTTTTTTTTTTTTTTTTGAGAGGGGGTCTCCCACTGTTGCCCAGGCTGGAGTGTAGTGGCACAATCTTGGCTCACTACAACCTCCACTTCCCAGGTTCAAGCAATTCTCCTGCCTCAGTCTCCCAAGTAGCTGGAATGACAGGTGCCCACCACCCTATCCAGCTAATTTTTGTATTTTTAGTAGAGATGGGGTTTCACCATGTTGACCAGGCTGATCTTGAACTCCTGACCTCAAGTGATCTTCCTGCCTCAGCCTCCCAAAGTGCTAGGATGACAGGCATGAGCCACCGTGCCCGGCCCAAAATGCTCTTTTTGTGCTAACTGTTGTAAACCTTACAACCCTGACTGATAGATAAGTTTGTTCCCATTTTATAGATAAGGAAATACCTCCAGTCACACGTGCAGAACCTGGGTTCAAACCTCAGTGTGGGTCTCCAGAAACACTAGCTCTCACCCCTGTGCCGGCAATGCACAGCCATCGCAGATAGTTGCTCTAGAGATCACGCCAGAGCCTGGGCTTGAGGCTGCGAGGGAAGTAAGTCAGGAGGTGAGGGTTACAGGTCCTGGGGAAAAACAGGGCCTCCGCGGTGCTGGGAAAACATCGCTTCGTCCAAACCCAGGTAGGCCATTCTCTAGTGACTGGAGGCTTGCTCTCCCGCTGTGTGAATTTTCTCATCAGCGTAGGAGAGGAGGGGGATGTGGGGGATGGGCCCCAGGGCAGGGCAGTGACCGGGTGCTGGAGGGCTTGCTGGCCCAGCAGCTCCTTGAAGGACTTTAATTTTCCTTCCATGGATGCACTTGTCTGGCTCCATTCTCAAGGTCAACACAGCATGGTTCTGGCCTGGGAATGCCTTCTCCAGAAATGAAACTTGACTTTCTTCCCGTTGCGTTTGCTGTCTGACCTATTCCTTTTTGTCTAAATAGGAATGGACAGCTTCTGTTCTCACAGTGCATTATCAGCGCATGCACAGCCAGGTGTACGTTTATAAAATATGCCTGTGTGACAGACGACAGTCTCAGTGCACCCTCCCCTTCCATCCCCACCCCACGCTGCTCATAGAGGCTGTTCATAGAGGGCTTGCACTGGGCCTAGCCACAAGCCTACATGACCCTGCCTCGCTGTCCTCTACACGCAGGTGGCCTCTTAACTCTGCAGACTAATACCACCTCCAAAGGAATTACACTGCTTTATGTTTCTGTGCCCTGTGCCTCGTGAAGTCCTTGAATGGCTTAGAGCACAGCTCCACAATAAGACAACGGGCATTTAAATGCTGGAATGTTTTCAAGGGTGATGCAATTAATTCACATTTATTAGTCAACTAATAGAAATGCACTCACCGCGTGGGGCCCTTGGCTAGGCTGTGTCGGAGGGGTTGTCAGCATGGTTTGGAGAGAGCTGGGGTTGAGGATTGCTGGCATCACACTTCCCCTCCGGCTCGGGGTGACTCCCTCCCAGCACCTGCAGTCACCTCGCTGTCTGGAGTCTCCTCTCACTGTCTGCAACCAGAGGGTTGCCCTGGCTTGGCAGTTGGCACAGTGAGAGCTAAGCTTACCCTTAGACTTTCCAAGGCCCTTTCGAGGGTCCATGAGAAAAAACTACTGTGATAAGTATACTCAGAGTTCTTTTCCTTCCAGTTGTTGACATTTGCACTGGTGGTACAAACACAATGATGCGTGGGACTGGGGCTTCTTAGCACAAGTCAGGGCAGCAGAACCCAAAGCTCAACCTTTGAATACATGGTTTTTCAGATTCAGTGGGACTCATGGGGAAATAGGAGAAAAACGCTTATGTGTGCCAGTTCACAAAGGAAAAGCCCCTGTGTGATTGCATTGTGAGCCGAACTAGCCACTTTTTTCATGAAATGCAATTTCAACTTGAAAAGAAATGTTAATTATTCAGACTTGGATATTTGACAGATATGTTCTCAAAAAGGAATCAAGGGAGCGTGTCACTTTTAGGAAAATAACTGATAGTATTTCTTGCCAATGATAAAATTCAAGCTTTGAACCATGAACTTGGAAGTTATCCAGACTTTAAAAACTGGTGAACTCCATGGTGATACTAACCAATGTGGTGTTTCAATTCTTTTTTTTTTTGAGACGGAGTTTTGCTCTTGTTGCTCAGGCTGGAGTGCAATGGTACGATCTCGGCTCACCGCAACGTCTGCCCTCTGGGTTCAAGCAATTCTCCTACCTCAGCCTCCCGAGTAACTGGGATTACAGGCATGCACCACCATGCTCAGCTAATTTTCTTTCTTTCTTTCTTTCTGTCTGTCTGTCTGTCTTTTTTTTTTTTTTTTTTTTTTTTTTTTTTTTGCATTTTTAGTAGAGACAGGGTTTCTCCCTGGTGGTCAGGCTGATCTCCAACTCCTGACCTCAGATAATCCGCCCGTCTGGGTCTCCCAAAGTGCTGGGATTACAGGCATGAGCCACCACGCCCAGCCAGTGTTTCAACTCTTTATTACAAAATGCATCACCATTTGGAAGATCTGCCTAACATATATATATATATAACTTATATATAACTATGCCTAGCTGATAGTTTTCAGGTGATCATTGTACAATATTATACAATTACGCATGAGTGGAAGGTCCATTTTAAGAGAAAAACAGACCACAAGTTTTAATGTAACAGAGCACGAAAAGTTCATTGACAGGTTTCAGATTCCAAATTATAACCAACCCTAAGAAACTAGCCCTCGTAGAGTTTTGTTAGGTATCAAAGAAGAATATTCACAGTTCTTTGAAAGGATTCTTTAAATAGCTTTCTCAATTCAACAATGTGTCTGAGCCTTCATATACTTCAAATAAAACAACATATTGCAACAAGTTGAATTCGAAAGCAGATATGAGAAACCAACTTTCTAAAAAACCAGACCTAAAAGAGACTTGCAAACATTGAAAATGGTGCCAGTCTTCTCAGTATTCTTTTGGTTTTTGAAAATACAGGGTTTTTTTTAAATTGAAAAAAACTCTATTTTAAAATAAATTAATAGACATTTAAAAATTCCCTGTTTTACTTTCTAGTATGGTAAATATCAGTAGATATATTCCATATCCCTAAAAAGTGTTTGGATTATCAATAAATTTCAAGAGTCTACTGTTTTGGGTAATCTAGTTTTTCCACCTCAAATATTATTTGAATTTGTTGACAAAACGTTATTCAATAAAAATAAATAATAAATCCATTATCTCAATAAAGTATGAACAAATCCTTAAATTGTGAAGTAAAGAACAGGTTTTAACTTGGAGGCATTTACGTATGTTGGCATCATTTATACCCAGAGTAGATCCCCTTGAATCTAGAGACTGGCAGACTTTTTTGCAGAGTCTGGTAGTAAATATTTTAGGTTTTGTGAACCATGTTTCTGTCTCTGTCTCAACAGTTCAACTCTGCAGTTATAGACAGCGTGTACAGTGGATGTGTCTACGTTATGGTGGAACTTGATTTACTAAAACAAGTGGCAGGCCAGATTTGGCCAGAAGGTCATAGTTTGCCAACTCCTGCAAAATTTCCCCTAAAAGAACGTTGCAGGGTTTTGATGACATAGCCACCTACACCCTACGCATTCACGTCTTCCAAAAGTGGATTAATTTTGGCGCTAAAGCTGGACTTTGAATTCTTTTAGTTCAGGGCTTGACAGTGAAGACACCTTTTTTCACATTGTTTTAGTGGGGGCATGCATGGTAAGTTTCTGCTATTTGGAGAGCAAGAAGACTCCAAAGGAGCAGGTAGCAGGGACTGGGGAAGAAGGCGGCTGCCTTAGGCACTTGTGCGGGACTCGGGGACTGTACATGCAGCTCCCCTTAGGCATGACAGAAATACCTCTTTTCACCTCTCCCTCACAGACAGGCACTGTCCTTGCTCCAGGCGGAGCTTGGAATCTGCATGAGATATTTGCAGCTAAAGATGGCCCTTAGAAAATTGCTTTCTTGCTCATTGACTCTTCAGGCTGGTTTCTAGGAATTTCAAGACACATGTATGTTTATAGACTGCCTTATGCAAAGGGAACATATCCCCTCTTCCCAGTGCTAAATCAGGTGAACCCACTTTCCTGTGCCTCCCACTCTTCACCACCTTGTCAGCCTCCAGGATAGGGGTAACTTGTTTTCATCCAGGTCCTCCCAGCCCAGCATTCAGAGAACTTGGGCAAGTTGGGCTGTCAGGTTGAATGAGGTGAGATGTAGATTTATGTTGCATTCATAGTTCAACTTTGGTGAAGCACCGTGTGTGGTTATAGAACATAAGAGCCCTGGCAGCTGGTGGCATTGGGGGTCTCTCCATCTTGCCCATCCTCTGGGCTACAGCGGTCTGGTCTGCTGCTAACGCAGAATGCTCTAAGGTTGCTTTCACACAGGTATTCTTGCCATCGGCAGCAGTACGTCAGGTTGCATGGAAGTCAGGACTGGCTTTCTTTCTTTCTTCGACATTAAATGCAGAATCTCTGCTGAAGGGTTGGCTTTCTTTTTAAGCATACATCAGCACCAGAAAGCAGCTCTTGCCTTCTGGTGTCTTTATCTGCTCCAGTAGAGTCTCCCTCAAGATGCATTGGAAGCTTTGGGAGAATGGCTGCATCAAGCATGACACTTGTAAAGAATGCCGTAAAGGTAGCAGGTATCTAAATATCACTTAGATGATACAGTATCGCCCATAATTGAACAGATTATATATACATATATATTATATATATAAAATATATATATATATCCATATTGATGTTTCCTCTAGCCAAGATCTCATTCTCAATGAAGAGTAAATTCTCTGCAAATCATGTGGGGACATCTTAACTTTATTGATGGTGTATCATTAGCTTCAGGTATTGAAAGGTTTGCTTTAACATTTTTTCCTAGATTATGTGATTCTACAGAGAACAAAAGTAAGCTTGTCACTTATGTGCCCTTAGATTCTCATGATGCAGTTTTGAGATTTAACTCTGCTCCTACACGTGGTTATGAGAAAGATGTTGGGAATAAAACCACCGTACGCATCATTAATTCGCAGGTAAGACAGATGAAGTGTTTTCATGGATGTGTGTTTCTTAGGTTTAACTGGATGAGTGAAGAGAAATGAGTTTAACTGGATGAGTGAAGAGAAGTTACCTGGTTAATTATGACCATGGTACTTGTTTATTTCTATCAATCTTATAATTAATGCAAATTAATGAGGAAAACTGCAGAGAAATGGTAATTTAGACATGACATGAATAGGAGGAAATGAATAAGATTAAAAGGAAAAATCAGTAGAAATAGAAATATATATACATATTTGTAATCATAGACTTAGCATGTTGCATTTTGTGAACTGACCAAAGTTAAACTTAGAAGAAATGGCAATAAAGAAAGCAGAATATAAAGGGGAGAAAGCAAAGTATAAAATCTGAGAGTTCGTAGGAGATCTTTGCAACTTTAGTCTGCCATTTGGAAATTTTAAAAAATGAAAAGGAATTATTTAATTGGAAATGAAAATACCTCGTTTATTCACGTTCTTAATAAGAATACCTTGCAGATGTATAGCAAAATTATCCTCAGAACAAACCACAACAATTTCTGGAGTTTCAAAATATGTAGAAAAAATGAGGTGATGAGTGATTTATGGTGAGTTGCTTACAGAACAAAAGATTAGCTTTCTGCACAGTTCACTGCACCAGGCAGCCTGCCTCAAGGTAAGAAACAATTACCATATTTCCTTAATTCAGAGATGTCATTTGACTGTAAAATCTGCCATTCATTTAATAACAACTTTTTGCAAAGGAGGAGATAAATGCCACCAAATTAGAATACATATCATCTGTAACATACATTCTAACTTAGAAACTTTAACGTGAAGGAAAAAAGTATATCGTAATAATGGTTAAAAAAAATGTGTCTTAAAACCGAGGGAAAATAATACATTGTTTTTTCCTGAAACAATAATTTTAAAAAGATGATTGGCAGCTGAGATTGAAGAATTCATTTAGAACTAGGTAGGGCCACAGAGGGAAGCTGGCACGCTGGAGGCTCCTTCGGGACTCACTTCATCCACACCTGCAACGCTCTCTCCAAATTACACGTGGAGGCAATTGTAGAAGAGGTTGTGGCACTTGAATTAGCTGGGGAATTGCATCCTTCAGGATCTGGATTCAGTACCACCAGACATGAGTACATTGCTGGTGAAAAGTCAGAACTTGTGTTTTTTTAAAAAAAAATAAAATAATAATTTCCTTAAACATTCTTTAAGTGCTTCTGCATGCAATGCCTGCGTCTCTCCCTCCCCCAGAAGAAACTACAAAGTCTGAGCCACCGTTTTCTTGTCCTAGTTCTTTTTAATTTTCACCTCTTTTTAAAATGCAATTTTTAAAAACCAAACCCTGGCTTCGAAATGGTTTTTCTGTGTGTTTGCAGATCCTGACCAATCCCAGCCATCATTTCATTGACAGTTCACTGTATAAAGACGTCATTTTGGTGGCCTGGGATCCTGCGCCATATTCCGCAAATCTTAACCTGGTAAGTGTTTCCCTGGATTCGCCCACCCCAACAGTCAGACAATGGCTTTGACTAATTGATCATAAGATCTAGGCGAGGATTAAGCTTTGACAGACAACGAAAGTACCCATCAATATCAATTTCATGCATGTTTGTGAATACCGCATTGATACCCAGTTACAGTAGCACACTTGTGAACATTAGTCATCTAATGCCAAAGTGCTTTTGTGCAGAATTGGTGGGCAGGGCAGCCAGGTGGGGGAAATGTAGAATATCTAAATATTCAGAAATTTCTAGTTACACTAAAGGGTTGACTGATTACAGTCAGAATTGTTTCACTGTGTTGGGGCTACATTACCTTTCAAGTAGTTGGAAGACCTTTTGAAATAAATTGAAAGTGATTGGCACGAGAATCTCAACTTTGTGAATCCACAGCTCATTTTTATTTAAATGGGGCCTGTTCCAGGCTTTTCTTGAGTGTGTTCCTCTTTGGCTTCTGCTTCTGAATCTACTTAATTTTATGCAATAGGGCTGAAACAAGTTTATTACTAGCCATAAAAACACAAACAGGTTATATTTGGGATATTCTGGTAAATCATTGCCTATCTAAACAAGCAACCAGCTACTTTTGGTGAAACCTTTCGTGAAAAGCCAGCATGCTTGTTTTTCAATGAGGGCTGGAAAAGATGGATAGTATTTAGCCTAGTAAGAGATGCTGTCATTTCTGTAAACGAGTGTCTTTGACTTGTTTAGTGAAGACCAGAGAGGATGCAACCTTCTTAAGATGAGTGTCAGGGAAAGGTCTTTGCTTCTTCGAGAGGTAACCTCCCAAGGTAGAAGCAGCTCCTGGAGAAGGAGCATGTTGGTCACTGTTGACCTTGAGACTGAGGCTGGACATTTACCTCGTATGATTACTTACAATTCCTGACCTGGCGTGCAAGTCAAAATCACCTGGAGAGTATTTTTCAAAATCTGTCAGAGCCCCATCTCCAGAAATGTAGGATATATATAGCCTCGATGTATATTTTTTGAGAGGGCTCTTTGATTCTCATATGTACCCTCCACTGAGAATCAAGCATCAGATGGGTGTTTGAACTTTTCAACTTCCTTTCCAGCCTGAGGCTCCCTGGTTTTAAACTCTTGCAGCTTCCTTGCTATTTGTGAACAGACTGAGAGTTTCTAGCTGTTGGACCTTATTTCTTCCTCTGTTGGAAGCAGCCCAACCCAGGGCACAGAGCTGGCCACCTGGCAGTGCTAAAATCCCAGTGGCAAGTCCGCTTTCTGTAAGGCCTTTACTGCCATGTGAGGCCCCAAGAGGAGGGAGGGTAAAGGAGCGACTCTCGCTCTGACTCCACATTCCTCTTGCTCCCTTGCCAGGGCCACATGGCTTGGGGCTTCGTTTAGGAAAGATACTCTGGTCCAGTCATTCTCAAAGCTTTTAAAGCGACAGTGCCATTTCATTAGTGAAATATTACCTGTGATCTTAACGTATACCCACTATACACCGCTGCTGTCTGTTTAAAGGGAGTTCTATGAGCTAAGCTTCTTCCCACCCACCCTCTCCAAATCCATGTCATGGTTACAGCTGAGACGCTTCTGAAAATTTCCTTTTTGAAAAACATCCTTACTGATTTTTCATACAACAGCATACATTGTGTAAACAAATATAAGTGTACATTTTGAAGAATGATAACCAATCTATATACTCATCTATCTACCATCATAATGAAAAACTGGAATATTTCCTTCACCCCAGAGAGTTCCTTTGTCAGTCCATCCTAGTCAATCTTCCCAGCCCCAACCCAGGCCCAGGCAGCAGCAATACAATTTCTGTCACTATAGATGAAATTTGGAAAACTTATTTTTGAAATACGCTGATCCAGTCCCCAAGGGCCAACAAACTACACCCATGGGCCAAATCTAGCCACCACCTGCCTTCATAAATAGTGTTTTATTAGAACACAGCACGCCCATTCAGTACTTATTGTCCATGGCTGCTTCTGTGCTACGATGGTACAGTTGAGTAGAGACGACCGACTCTATGGCCTGCAAAGCCCAAGGTGTTGATTATCTGGCCCTTTGCAGAAGAGGGATGCTGATCCGTGACCTAGTCCATTTTTCTCATTTGACTAAAGCACAAAGCATTATCTCTGCTAGGGATAGCACCCTGGTCTCTCTTTGTTTTCATCCCCTCGTCCCAATGAGAAAGTATCTGTAGAGGGAATGAGTCATGATCCTTCCCCATCCTCTAGCCCCAGCCTGGCCCCTCTGCCTCGAATCAACCAGCCATGCCCTGTCTCCTTTCACGGTTTAGTTCTTTCTACTTGACTGCATTGATTTTTTTTTTTCCTTAGTGGTACAAAAAACCGGATTACAACCTGTTCACTCCATATATTCAGCATCGTCAGAGATACCCAAATCAGCCATTTTACATTCTTCATCCTAAATTTATATGGCAGCTCTGGGATATTATCCAGGAGAACACTAAAGAGAAGATTCAGCCAAACCCACCTTCTTCTGGTTTCATTGGTAGGTGTCATATTAAAAATTGGAATGAGTGGGGGGCAGACAGGATGAGATCTAATATTTAACAAATATACAGTCATGTTATACGGGTTGAGAATACCTTCTCTGAAATGCCTGGAACCAGAAGTGTTTCTGATTTTGGATTTTTTTCAGATTTCAGAATATTCACAGATACTTAACTGGTTGAGAATGTCTAATCCAAAAATCCAAAATGCTTCAATGAGCCTTTGCTTTGAGTGCCATGTGGACACACAAAAAGTTTTGAATTTTGGAGCATTTCAGCTTTTGGTTATTCAGATTAGACATGTTCCATCTGTACAGTAAGAGCCATTAACAGGTGGTTTTGGAGGAAAGGTAGGTTAACTAAGGAAAAAAGAAACACTTGTGTAACAGACTACTCCAAAATTTCAAGGTGTAAAAGAAAGAACTGTTTTATTTTTCTCATGATTTTATAGGTCAGGACAGGCCTAGCTGGGCAGTTCTTTCTGTTTCATGTGGCATCCATGGAGGTCGTCTGGTGTATTCCACTGCTTTATGGGATGACTTCACTCCCACATCCCTCCGGTGCCTTTGCAGGGATGGCTAAAGGCCCACCTCAGCTGGGACAGTTGACCATGTGCCTGCACATAGTCTCTCTTGCATGGTGGTCTGAAAGTAACTGGACTTCTTAAATGGCAGCTTGTGGATCCCAGGGAGAACGTTCGAAAACACAGGAAATCAAGAATTTGAATTTCAAGAATTTGAATTCTTCTCTGCCACTGCCAGTTTCTTAAGGCCAACACCTAGGGACTGGTACAGCATCACAGGTGCAATTCTATTGGCCAGAGTCATTTCAGGGCTTATTGATTCCAGGGGAGAAAACATAGACCCCGCCTCTTGAGGGAGGTGAGGGAGGCATGTCCAGGAATATGCGGCATCGTGAATCTACCACCCATGCTTGTTCACATAGCTTATGCCATGCTTGGTTGTGGAGCTCAATCTGTGACCACAGGAGAGTGTGTTGTGTTTCAAGATTATGAGTTGGTAGGGGCTTTGATGAGACTAGTTCCAGTATCTCATTTAGCTCTCTTCACCGAAGAGTGTCTTTCATCTACAGATGGGTTTTATGTAACAAGAGCATCACACTGGGCCTACATTGTCTTCTGGTCAAGCTTTGATCCTCAGAGTTTTTGGTTTTTACCTCATTTCTTTATCTGTGTTTTAGCTCATCACCCCATTGTCTCTTTGATATTTCCTGAGTAGGGTAATATTAAGGAATATCCTAGACCCTTTTGGCAATATGAAAACCTACACAAGAACCAAACGATATTGGTTTTGTCTATGAAGAACTGTAATGTTCTCTTCCCCAATTTCAATGAATTTACAACCCTTTTCCTTTCTTGGGCTGCACAGTGGTTCCCCATGAATAAAGGAAAGACTTGTGGAGACAACACTGGTTTGGTTATGAATTCAGGACACACAGGTATCCTGAATTGAAGCTTGCAGATTTTAGAGTGGGTTTTTGGTATTGTAATAATGTGAATTATTTTACATATAATTTAAGAAAAAAATTTACAATATGACTGCATACTCTTTTCCATAAGCTCAGCTTTTTCTCTCCCTTTTAAACTCATGCCTTTGACACTCTTTGTTTCTGAATCACTCTTTTGAAATCCTAAGTTCTTTATCTTTGGTGTGGTTTCATAGGATCTTGTTGATTTAGGAAAAAAAGTATAATCTAGTTTGTCAGCAAAGAGTAAACAGGATAGAATAATGCCTAGACAGCATAACAAGATGTGACAGAAGTTTAATAAAGTCTTTTTCATATCCTCACCCTCTCATAAATTCATGTGGCTAATATTTGATTAGAGCAAAAGTTTTAAAGCACAGTTAGAGGGGCCTGTCAGATACACTTATTATCAACACGTGGTTTAAAAAATTCAAGTTAGATAGTCATAACTGAAAAAAAAGTACTTTCCTATGTTGTTTTTGCTAAAAGAAATCATGCCACGTATAGCCAGCTTCCTTTTAAAGCTCTTTACTGAGAATTTAAAGTTTCAGAAGCTGAAGATTATCTTTAAGGCTTCTTTGACTTGAAGGGGCTGCAGTTTGATGTCATTGCAAGAGGTTGAGGTGGCAGAGGATGGGTTGAGTTTGAATTCCTCTCGGCCGCTTGCTGGCTTGCTGACCTTGGGCAAGTTACTTAATCCTCTGACCCTGAATATCCACAGATGAGAAATGGAAGTACTAATAATCATTATTATTTTCTAACACTGTACTGACCAATATGGCTACTTACATTTCAATTTCTTCAAACTAAATAAGAGGAAACCTTTTGTTTCTCAATCTCACTAGCCCCATCTCAAATTCTGAGTCACCACATGCTCCTGATGGCTACCATATTGGATAGTACAGAGACAGAACAATTCCATTGTCCCAGAAAGTTATGTAGGACAGCACTGTTATGTTTTGCTAGTCACAAAAGAATGAAAAACAGCAAGTTGATAAGAAATCTCTCAGTGCCCACTGGGCAGGCTGTGTTCTGTGGGTAACGGTTAGGGTTGGGCGAGGATAGAAGAGGCAACAGAAGATGTGGTCTGGCGTTGTTAAGTTTATTTGTGGCCCTTGTGCCTTGTCATGGTGAAGCATGTGAGAACCCTCACCAAGGATGGGCAGTGGAGACAGCTTGGATGAGTTCTGCTCAGAAAACCTCCAGCACCTTCTGATTACCCACAAGACTGCAGTAGTCTTTGCCCCTCTTCTTTGATCTTGATCATAAATAGGCTGAGAGCCAGAATCTGTTTTATAATTTATCCAACATCCTTAAATAGCAGTAAAATGATGTCACCCACATCTCAATCTGTCTGCTATGAGAATTTTAAAAATCAATGACTGGTTTGTTTTTTTTTTCTGTTATCAAAAAAATGTTCTCCAAATGCCCCCTTCATGTACTGAGGTCATGTTGAGAAGGCATTGACTTGTTGTCTCAGCACCTCATTGTTTCCAAGTGCTCTAACCTCTAACGTCAGCTGCTGAACGAAAGAACCCATCGAAGAGCTGTTAGAAGGGATTAGAACATTTCAGTTTGCACAGTCCCATCTTCAGCCCTGGGTCCACCGGTCAGCAGGACGGTCACCATCACAAAAGATCACCCTGGCAGTGTCCCCGGCCTCTGGTTGTTCTGATCCACAAGGGGCTGCCCTGGAGGTGAAACAGTGTGCCCCGCTTCCTTTACTGATGTGCTCATTAAATACATATATATACACATAACTGCACACATGGTTGGCTTCATAGGGCTTTTGGTTTCCAATATTTTTGAACTAAAACCTTTCCTAATGTGTCCATCCTTATAGTCTCCCATGCAATTACTTACATTTCTAAACCCTCTGACATGGTTCGGGTATTTGTCCCCACCTAGATCTCATGCTGAATTGTAATCCCCACTTCACCTGGGCCTCGTGGGAGGTGTTTGGATCATGCGGACAGATCCTTCATGGCTTGGTGCTGTCTTCATGATAGTGAGTTCTCATGAGATTTGGTTGTTTTCTGATTTTTTTTTTTTTTTTGAGACAGAGTCTCGCTCTGTCACCCAGGCTGGAGTGCAGTGGCATGATCTCGGCTCACTGCAACCTCCGCCTCTTGGGTTCAAGCAATTCTCCTACCTCAGCCTCCCAAGTAGCTGGGACTACAGATTTGGTTATTTGAGATCGTTGTGGCACCAACTCCCGCCCACTCTGTCTCTTGCTCCTGCTTTCAACATGTGAGGTACCAACTCTGACTTTGCCTTGCCAAGTCAGAGGCCTCCTAAGATGCAAATGCCAGCACTATGTTTCCTGCACAGCTTGCGAAACTATGAGCCAATTAAATCTCTTTTCTTTATATTTTACCCAGTCTCAGGTATTTTATTACAGCACTGCAAGAACAGACTAACACATCCACTGCATACATTTTCTTTATACATGCTTAGGAATCTGCATGTTTGAAATAGAGAGACTCTAAAAAGCTGACTATTTTGAACACAAAAGACATTTCTTTGTATGGAGATTATCCAGCGGCAGTTGGATTCCCAGGGAGATGTTACTGAGCCCCTTAAATGTAGTGCTGTTAGTGCTATTCAAGGCCTCGTTACTGGGGCCTGAATCCATATAGGCGAAAGGTAATGAGCAAGGAAGGTAAGGGTCATACTCAAGTGGATATTAATTGCACACTTCCTGTGTGCCAGACACAGGACTGGGCCCCTGAAACCTGGTGGTGAAGAAACCAGGCAAGGGTCCTGCCCACCCAAAACTTGCAGGACAAACGTAAATAAAATCGTTATAAAGTATGATAAGTCCAACGAAGGAAAAGAAAAGAATGCATCAAGGAATGTTCTGTGTCTGTTTTGCCCATCATTGTATTTCTGCTGTTAGCCTGGTACATAGTAGATACAAATAATAATTACTTGGTGAGTGAATGAATGTTTTAGCTCAATGTTTTTCAAAATTTAGCATGTGTCAGAATCACACAAAAGGTTTGTGTGCTAATAAACCATTCCTGCAAAGCAAAAGTTAGATTCTAAAAAGAATAATAAGCATTTATTCTTTCACAGTTTCCATGGGTCAGTAATCTGGGAGCAGATTGGTTGGATGATTCTGGCTCACAGTGTCTCCTAAGGTTACAATCAAACTGTCTGAATTCGGGCTGGATAATGTGTTTCCAAGATGACTCACTTGCGTAGCTGAGGGCAGGAGGCCTCAGTTCCTTACCACATGAACCTCTTTCCATAGCACTGCTTGGGCATCCTCACAACATGGCAGCTGGCTTCCAGAGAACAGGGGATCTGAGAAAGAGCAGGGAGGAAGGCCCAATGTTTTTATGATGCCATAAGCTAACACATCTGCCACATTATCTTTGTTACACAAGTCAGCACCATTGTTATGGGACGAAACTACACAAAAAACATGAATAGCAGGCACCAATCGTTATGGAGTCAGTTTGGAGGGTGGCTGTCACAGTTTTGTAAACCAGATTACTGGGCCTACTCC